GTCACCCTGTGCCCCCTTAAACCCCCCCTAGCTTTTTTTTTTTTTTGGCTGATGCTAGCTTGCTTGCTTTGCTTTGCCTTCAGGGTGACTTCAGGACTGGTTTCCCTTGGGTTCTTTTCAGTGGGTTTTCAAATGGGTTTTCTTTTGTCTACCCTTTGGGATGTTATGTTGAGAGAGCTGCAACAACTTTTCTGTCTGGCTAAAAGATGGGTTGCTCACTCAGACGGCCCTATTCTCACCATTGAACCTCTTTCCTCGCTTCTATGGTTAGGAGTACAAAGCTTGGATATTTATGTTGTCCAAACTTTCCTCTAAGATGTTTGATCTTCTCTGTGCGTATATTCCTGTTCTGGTAAGGTGTCTTTTACACCTGTTGGTGTATTGCTGGTTGTTGTTAATTTCTTATTGGCAGGGGCACATTGCTCCTTCAGTCAGGAGTTTCCCCTTGGCAGTGATTTTCTTTGTCCTGCTTTGGAACAACAAGTTCCAAATCACGGCAGTTCCTCCTGTCTTTCCGGGGGTTTCTTCCCATCTGTCCTTGGTTTAGGAGTTTGTTCCTTCAGATACCTCTAACATGTGATAAGACCAATAAAAATTAATGATTTTCAGTGACTGTTGCCCACTCCTCAGTTGGACTACTTTTGAATGCCCTGACTGTAATAGAATTTTTCTTCTTACTGTAAAATCTTTTACTTGCACTTACCGTAAAATCTTTTTCTTGTAGTTCATTGAAAGACATAGATCCCACCCCTCTTTTGTGTTTTTGTGGACCTGTGTATTTTCTTTCACACAAAACTGAGACATACTGGGTAAAGAAGGGGTTATATGGGGACTGGCTTGTAATCTATTCTGGTTGCCAGTGTCCTAACCTCCTGTAGTTGGCAGTATAACCATACTGTAATAGTATTCCTGTGCCCCTCAATGGACTACAAGAAAAACATTTTACAGCAAGTACAAAAATGTTATTTTGATTTTTGCATTGGTTAAAATGGTCTGGTCAAAATCCTTGTCAGTTTTTTTCCATCTGTGTCTCATTGGTGGATTTCAATTCTTATCCTGGCCTGTAAACACAACAAAATGTGAGAGCAAAATCTCTCCAAAGTGGCAGAAATTCCATCTATGACAGTTATCACCATAACAAGTATTCACATTGAATGAATTTCACCATCCTGTCATGGTGACAACTGGAAAATGTGGAGATTTTTCTTCACTTTGTGTCACCAGGACAAATGGAGAGGGTTAGATTTCGCTACGGGGGACACAGACAATGGTAAATTAAGTAAAGTAAAAAAGAAAAAAAGCTTTGTGATTAGATACACTTTAACTGTTACAGAGAAAGTGTTGTCAAGGCAGGTACAACAAGTCCATGTATGTATTTCATCTGTGTAGGTATCTGTTTGCTTAGCATTCACCCTAAATCACAGTGTGGCCAGATCTTTAATTTTAGGTTTTTATTTTGTGGATGTATCGTAATGTTTTAAAAAACTGAAATAGTGAATTTTATTACAGGGTGGAACCATTATTGGCAGTGCCAGATGCAAAGCGTTTACCACTCACGAAGGTCGTCTGGCGGCAGCCTATAACCTTGTGGAGCATGGCATTACAAACTTGTGTGTCATTGGCGGTGATGGCAGTTTAACAGGGGCAAATATTTTTCGAAAGGAGTGGAGTGGTCTGCTTGAGGAACTTGTTAAAGAAGGTAAAGCAATATATGAATCAATGCAACATGGTAGCCAGAATGTCTGTATATCTTATGGGGGAATTTACTAAACAGGAGGAGTTGTGCATAGCAACCAATCAGCTTCTATTTTCAGCTTGTTTGGTTAAGCTTTGAAACTGAAAGCTAGAAGCTGATTGGCTGCCATGCACAGTGGCTCCAGATTTTGTCTTGGTAAATTCCACTTGCTGTATTTGCATTTGCATTTGCATTCCTGCTACTGGATTGGGCCGAGGACCTATGGAGAGCCCATCCAGTTGGTGGAATTCTGTGCAAATGGAATTCTGCCATTGTATGGATGGGCGGTTGTTTTTATAATTCATCCCCTTTTAAGATGAAGATTTAAAAATGTTTATGGGATCACAACTAAAAAAAAATCATTAGTTGTATAGTACCCTATTGTATTTGTTACTCTCCCATATTAAATGTTTTCTTATGCCTATAATATGCACCATTTAAAGTAAATCCCTCTTTCCATGATCATGTGGATAATTATGCCATGTAAAGCTAGTCATAGACCTTCATGTCCCACTGAAAATGGCACGTGCTCATTGGTAAGTGCTCTATTTCCAAACCTGCTGCAATCCACTTTCCAGTTAGGCCCATGTGTGTTAGGGGCACATTGGATTGATATTTGTTCCCTTTTCCTATTGTTTGAAATACTGCTTTATATGCCCCTCCTTTTCCTTTGTGTATATATTCAGTTGTATAGCATTTCAGAAAAATTAATGATTGTGTGATGTATGGCAAATAATAAAGTATTGTGGGAGGAATCTAAATCCATAAATATAATGTTTGGCCCAGTAGATCAACTGAATGATTGAGAAATGAGGTGGGGTGGACATTAATAATCTGAGCCCTCACACAATTACATTAAAGGCAATGATGGATTGTACTGGAAATCTGACATTGTATGAACTTCGACTACAATATAAATATATCTGTTCATTTTGCTTTTTTTCAGAAAAAATAACTGAAGATGTTGCTGCTAAGTATTCTCATTTGAATATTGTTGGTCTTGTTGGCTCAATTGACAATGACTTCTGTGGTACAGATATGACCATTGGAACCGATTCAGCATTGCACAGAATTATGGAAGTAATTGATGCAATCACTACTACTGCTCAAAGGTAAGCACAGCAGTTTTGTTGGAAAACAAGTTGACATTTGTTCTTGACTGACTTGGGATTTTAGAATGTATTGCTAATGTCAGAGGAAATATGCTACCAGGAAGTTACTCATTTAGAAACCTACAGCTGTCTCTGCATATTTAATGCTATGATTTGTGCAATCGTCATGTCATAAGTCATACTGGTTTCATTGAATTTGCAATCTCTGGATTAAGTTTGATATTAAAGTGCCTTTGTTGGCACAGGGTGACTTAAATGTAAAACATACCTGCAAAAAGAAAACTGCACAGCAATCATTACTTTCAATGCACGGAATTATTTTTCACTTGTGTGAAAGATTTGTACTACTTGAACAGGATGCCCAAACTACAAAATGATAATAGCGTCATGAATACAAAGTGGAATAGTGTTCATGGGACTAGTTAACGCACAGAGGTTAGCCAGACTTCCATGTACTGTAAAGTTTTTAAGGCCCTTTCACACTGGTAATGTCAAACCTGTGTTTATATCAGGGACGTGCTGTCAGGGGAGGCAGAGCCTCACCTAGTATTGTGGAGGAAAAAGCCGTCAGCTTCAAGTCTGAAGCTGACAGCATTTTCTCCATTCAGAGCGGATTGTAACTGGTTACACAGCAAGGCAAGCCTCCCTGCTGTGTAACCCATCATGGACAGAGACTTGACAGCTAAGTTAGGTTACACAGCAGCGGGATTCTCCAATGCTTGGGTAACCTAACATAGCAAGGCAAGAGGGGCAACAGCCACTAATTTGTGTTTAGAGGCTTCAGTTCTGTAAATGGTTTGGACCAATTGTCCAAGCTGTCCAATCACAAAAAAACAAACACTGAGGACATCGCTCTCGATGCCTCACCAATGACGAGCAAGTGAGGGACAGGGAGGCTCCTCCCCGTCTCCTCCCTTCTTCCTCCCTCCCTCCCTCCTCCACACATAGCTTGGTGACCGGAGGGGGGGGGAGGGGCAGCTGGGACAGGCAGGAAGAATGCCTCACCTAGCACGGAATGTACAGCAGTCACTGGTTTATATGCTTTTGGATCACATTTCTAAATGCATATAAATGCATGCAATTGGTTTTCAGTATTATCATTCAGACTTTGTGTTTACCTGTGTGGAACTGCATTCAGTTTAGCTCAGGGACGTGCGGTCAGGGGAGGCAGGTGTGGCAGAGCCTCGCCTAGAATTATGGAGGAAAAAGCTGTCCGCTTCAAGTCTAAAGCTGGCGGCTTTTTCTCCATTCAGCTCGGCATCTAACGGGTTACACAGCAGGGAAAGCCTCCCCGCTGTGTGACCTGTCATGGACGGAGCACTGCCTGTTAATTACAGGCAGCGCCGCATCCAGCTTTTGACAGGTAGTTAGGTTACACAAGCAGTGGGGAAGCCCCCTGCCGTGTAACCTAACTATTGAAGCCAGAGCTGTCACAGCCTCTACTCTTTGTTAGAGGCATGAGCTCTGTGGAAGGCTTGGACCAATGGCAAAGCTCCATTGGTCCAAGCTGTTCAATCAAAAAAAGAGGGGAAAAAAAAACACTGAGGCCATCGATCTCGATGCCTCTGCAGTGAGGAGCAAGTGAGGGACAGGGAGGCTCCTCCCTGTCTCCTCCCTTCCTCCTTTACACTAGCTTGGGAACAGGTTGGGTGGGGCTTCTGCCAGGGGAGGGGGGGGGGCTGGACTGGATGTGCTGA